TTGATTGGAAAAAAAAATTCCCTCGTCTAGCGACTCGGAATAATTTTTACAAAAAAAAAACATTCGTGACCCTGAAAAATATTTGTATTAATTATCCTACCACTACGGAAAATACAAGAGAAAGTGAAAATATAATCGTTATGAGTCATAACTTATGACAGTAATTTAACAGTATTTTTGGCAGATTATTTTAATTATTTTAATGTACTAAAGTACTAAGTATAATAGGCACTGATATCACAATAGGTTTATTACCTAACAGTCTTAGAGGTATTAGAAAAAGTACTGTCAATTTATATAAATTCATTCTTTCACGGTTAATTAACATAGATACTATATTTTACATTTTATTTTTTTAAGTACCTAGGTATCACATTTTTGGTGCTATATGTAAAGGTAAGGTTTTTAATCAGAATAGTTATTATTTTTTTAAGTAGGTATTTTTATTGTCAGTAAAATTTATCTCCAGCTAAATAATTTGTAAAATAAGTCCCTAAGAAGGCTACCATTATCATCGTAGATGGTTTGGTGTTAATTCTTCAATTTTTTTTCTAACCTTGATCCTCAATCCTATTTTTGGAATTAATTCCTTTAAATTCTCCTCGCTTAGGTTTACCGTAATATCGAGATCTATCTCGTTTTCTAAAACAAAAATAATATAGCTGAATTAGATGCTATAGCCTTTCTGCTGTTTATGTGCTATTGTCTATTACCTGTCGTATGCTATCCATTTTACACTACATTTTTACGATCATGCCTAGTTAATTACTTTAAATTAATGAAATATTATTTACTTACCCAAAAATGTGTCTAGTAAACATTCTAAGCCCCAATTTTTAAGTTTATTCTCCATTATTTTTTATTAAAAATAACATCCAGACCGAAAAAGGAAAAAACGAACACACGCTACCACCATAGAACACAGGACAGACCTGAACACAGAAACTGCGTCTTTTCTTTTAGCGAAGCGGTCTTAGAGGGTGGACGGTATTTACTTAAGCGAAGAATTATAATTCCTAGCGAAGAATTATAATTCCTATATACTACTATATTAATAATAATAATAATAATAATAATAATTATAATTCCTATATACTACTAATTATAATTCCTAGCGAAGAATTATAATTCCTATATACTACCTATAATTCCTATATACTACCTATAATACCTATAATTCCTATATACTACCTATAATACCTATAGGTATTTGTTTTAATAATAGCTATACTTAAATACAGTATAGTGTATTCTTTGTTCTAGAGGTCTTATACTTAAATGGAAGTATAAGCGTTCTTGTATTAAATTTACATATATTTAAATAAAGTATACCGAAATTTCATACAAATATACAGAATACTTCAAATAAGTGGCAATATTCCGCTTTGAGTAAAAAACTAGAGCTCTTTCATCTAAGCATTATTGTATATTTGATTTAAGTATACCAATTTTCTTTAAAATAAAATACCTTTAAACTCAATCCAAGAATACTCATCTCAAATCAAGTAACAGTTTTTCTTAAAAATTAAGTATATCCCATTACTTAGTTTAACATGAAGTATAGAACTATTCTTAAACCTAGTAAGGGATTTTTTTCCGTGCAGAACTCTTATATTTATATCGATTCATTAAAGAGAGATAATGACATTGGTGCGGCAGTTTCATTCCATTCCTCACTTACAAAGCCAAAATAAAACTCAACAAATTGTTTTCCATCTATTCTGCAGAAGCGGTGGCAATATGGAAAGCCTTATTGTTTATACAAAGACAGCATATTAGCAGGCCCGTTATATTTTCTGATTCTTTGTGTGATTTATTCAGTCTTCAAAAAAACATTTTAAATATAAAGTATTTATACTTTACTCATTCATATTTCAAATTAAAACTCTTCTAATTGATCTTAAATTAGTTATGCATAACTAATTTAAGATCAATTAGAAGATTTTTATGGATGGACTACATGTAGTCCATCCATAGTCAATCCATATGAAAATGCCGAAACTCGTTGCTCGACCATCTTGGAATTTTATAGAAATATTCATTAGTGTCCCAAAGGACAAAATCCACCCTTATTTAATTTTTCGCAAGTGTCAAATCCGGTCTATTAGAATTAAAACTTTTTATGCTTTAATAATTAGGGCTGTAATTTTTTTTCTATTAAAGATATTTTAAATTTTAAGATGTCATTTTAAAGCTAAAAAATAGTAGTTTTTATAAAAAAAATATAAATTCATTTAATCAATATTTCAAAATAATTACACAATGCTAAAAAAACGTTTATTTTACTAATTATTGGTGTTTTTTAAATGCGTCGCGTGTCTCGGCTGTTTAATATGAACAGCTAATTTTATTCACATATAAAGTTTAAATACCAAAGACAAAATAAAACTTACAATTGACCCGTTTGGCATACGGTTTCCAAAAAAAATTGCTTGAAATTTTGCAATTCTAGAAAATCGCAATATTTAGGCCATTATATGAGGATGTTGACTTCCAAATAAAATTATGAAATGTAAAGGATAATAAGTCCCTACCTTGATGTTCAAATGCCTGGTAGTTTGGTTTTGTTATTTTCATCTTTGAAGCTTATACAGTAGCTTAAAAAGGAGAAATATTGAGATATTAAAAGGCGCATTATTTCATCTATTTTATAAGTATGTTGACTTCAATATAGAAATATGAAATTAACAGGATATTTAGTCCTTAAATGCCTATTTAACTTGTTTTGATATTTTCATTCATTTTGCATTCATGGGCTTTTAAAGGAGCAAACATATTAAAATTTAAAAAACGATTATTGTTTAATTTTCTATTCTAAGAATGTGTTGACTTAAGATAGAAACATGAAACTTACAGGATATTTAGTCCTTACTATGATGTTTAAATGCCTGTTTGGCTTATGCATGCATATGCATATTTATGTAGGTACTTATATGCATATAACTTATGCGGTTTTTTTTAAATTTTATACTTTTGCTGCTTTTAAAGCATCTGTAGGGTGGTCCACGTAAGGTGACCAATATACTTATCTCAGATACTGGAGTCACAAAAAATTTGTAAGGGAGAAATATTCAGGTAGTAAAAAATATTTTTAAAATATTATATTTTCATTTATACAGGGTGTTCGGTTTTCCGTAGGACGATACCAACTTTCTTATTTTCAATGGAACACCCTGTATTTTTTTGCATTTTTAGATTCTACACACTATTTTAGGTATACTTTGTAAATATTTTAATTAGGAAAATGTTAATACGTATAAAAAGTATACTTTTTAAGTAAAATTAAAATTAAAATTTATCAAAATTTCTCTAAATGTAGACATTCGCTAAAAGTTAAAAATAACCAACTAAAACTTATTATTTTTTATATTATGTAGTATTCATCTCTTTAATAATAACCAAGCTATAAGTTAAATCTTTTTTTTTATAAAATATTATACAGGGTGTTTATAATGCTCCGTTGAAAATAGCGATTTTAAAGGTTTAAAATCTTGTTTTTTTTCAATGGAACACCCTATATATTTTTACATAATTGGAGAAAATATGTAATTTCCTTTCTTTTTATATATATATGTCCTATATCTAAACCCAACAGAAAAAAAATATTCTCATTTTTCACAATTAGTAGCTTTATGCGTATGGTAATTATTATTATAATAATATATATTTATATACGAGCCCTAACCACATAATGTTCGGACACTTCATAATTTATACAGAAATTTTTTTCGTGAATACTATCTCAAAATTATTAGAAGTTATGAAAAATTCAGCTTATTTTGGCATATACCCCTCGAAGCGATTTTTATTTTTAAAAAGTTTACCTTTTATTTTTAGCTTTTAAAAAAAGGCTAACTTTTTAACTTTTTTTTGTATGAGTAAAAAAAGTTATAAATGGACCCATTAAAAAGAGCATAAAATATTATACAAACCCTGAAAATTTGGTAAAAAATAAATAAGTTATAAAAAAGTATAAGTAATTTAAAAATGCTATTTTTAAAGAGTTTTTGCAATTTTCTTAGGAAACGGGAGATTTTGCAGATATATATATCGCTATAACTTTCTTATTATTTATACAATTTTTACCAAATTTTCAGGGTTTGTATAATATTTTATGTTCTTTTTAATGGGCCCATTTATAACTTTTTTTACTCATGCAAAAAAAAAGTTAAAAAGTTAGCCTTTTTTTAAAAGCTAAAAATAAAAGGTAAACTTTTTAAAAATAAAAATCGCTTCGAGGGGTATATGCCAAAATAAGCTGAATTTTTCATAACTTCTAATAATTTTGAGATAGTATTCACGAAAAAAATTTCTGTATAAATTATGAAGTGTCCGAACATTATGTGGTTAGGGCTCGTATAAGAGCATTTTTACTTGTTGTTATTTTAATTTATTTATTTTAATAATGGAAATATAACCAAGCTAATTAGAAAATCCACAAAATTATATATATATATATATATATATATTATATATATATATTTAACTTTTAGGGAATGTCTACATTTAGAGAAATTTTGATAAATTTTAATTTTACTCAAAAAGTATTAACATTTTCCTAATTAATATATTTACAAAGTATACCTAAAATAGTGTGTAGAATATAAAAATGCAAAAAAATACAGGGTGTTCCATTGAAAATAAGAAAGTTGGTATCGTCCCACGGAAAACCAAACACCCTGTATTAATGAAAATATAATATTTTAGGAATATTTTTTTCTACGTGAATATTTCTTCCCTGCAAATTTTTTGTGACTCCAGTAGTTTCTGAGATAAGTATATATTTTCCCCAAGTAAGCAAGTATGATTTAACATAAAGTAATTTTACACTGTATTAAAAAGTGATTGTTTTTAATTTTCAAAACAACAAATTCATATGAATCTTAAAGATGTCTTTATACTAAAAACACGCAGTCATAAAGACATCGCAATCACTCGGCGCCAAAAAAGGTTTAATTTTTATTAGCGTTCGTTGCGGCAATTAAGCCGTATAATTACAGGTGTGCCATCGTATTTCACGACAACGTAGAGCACATAGAGTCTGGAGCGGGGCAAAGCGGCGGAGGCGGCGTATGGGTCTCCTGGGACGACCTGGATGCCGGAGCCAGACACCCAGATACATCACCCCCCTTGTCCTGGAGACTGAACCATAACTGAGTCTAACTTTCTGTTAAATAGTATTAGTTCACTTCAAGGGCCCGCCACCTGAACATTATTGCTACTTAGCCATTATTTGTTGATAGCCGAATGTAGTAAAAAGTAGTAATTACGTATGATAGTCAACATAAGTTTATTTTTTTGGTGTTCAAATTAAAAACTTGCAAAACTCATAGACCTTATAACACTGGACGGAGCAGTTAACTAAAAACTTAAGTATTATGATTGTTATTGATTGTGATTGATAAAATTTAAATTTATACCCACCAAATTGTTGATTGTTTCGACCTTTACTTGATGAAACTCCATATTATTAAAAAAATAACACTGTTTTAAAGTTTCACTATTTTATTTACGAGGTGTGTTCAGAAAATATCAGGAATTTTCGTTTTTTGAAACAAATATTTATTTATTCGTCTACATTAATGTTGTCGCCTTCAAAATAGTCCCCATTGAATATTATGCACATGTGCCAGCTCTTCTTCCAATACTCGAAACACTTCTAAAACTCGATGCGCTTTTAATGTCATCTATGCTTGCAAAACGACGGCCCTTTAAGGTTCTCTTTATTTTTGGGAATAGGAAAAAAGTCAGACAGAGGCATGTCTGACGAATATGGAGACTGGGGCATCATTACAGTATTGCTTTTGGCCAAAAAATTTGTTCAAAATTTAACAAATTTTGCTGCCACGCGTTTCATACCCAAAACATTCGAAAAAATTTCATGGGATGAGCCAATCGAGATACCAACATCATCAGCGACTTCTCTGATGGTTTATAACCATTTCTTCCACTTTTTCCATATTTTTATCGGTTGTTAATGTGCTTGTGCGTTCGGGGCGTTCGTCATCTTCATCGTCTTCACGGCCATCTTGGAAACTCTTATACCACTTGTAAACTCTTGTTTTACTTATAGCAGACTCACATAGGCCTTTGTTAACATTTCACAGAATTTATTTCATTTTTAAGCAAAATTGGTTACAAATTCTTTGATCCATTTCTTTTAATGAACGAAAATGGCCGAGCTCATAAAACACGTCTAACCTTAGCGGCTGCCACAGACAAAGTAAACAATGAAAACAGCTAAAGTTTTAAGCATACTTCGGGGGCATGTATACCAACATAATAAAGAAAATTTTATGTTTTTAATAATTAACAATTGTTTCGCTACACAGTAGCTTCTTCAGAATTAGTACCTACATATTTTTATCAAGTGGCGGTATTTATATTAACAAATGGCAGGTAATTTGAGAAAATAAGTGTTGGATAAACATTATACCTAAAGGGATTAATAAAACTTGCACACTTTTGGAAAAACTAAGGATTTGGAAAGTCCAATCTAATATAGTTTTATAATATTAATAAATATTATTTTTTAGTATACATTCTAAAATAAATTTAGCAAAGGCGAGCTGTTAGTTTCAATTTGGTCATTAATAGGGATGGGATTTTAGTTATTTTACCTTTTTTCAGCCGATGTAACTATTTGAAAACCAATAATGCCAACCTTTTTTGGAGGTTTTTGCTTTAAAATACCTTTTTATACTTTTGTTACATATTTTTTAATTTGTCAGTTTATTTTCACCTATTTGTTACCTATTTTTACGTATTTTTACTTAATTTATTATTTGTGCTCTTTTTAAATTTTGCGCCAATATTTTATCCAGGGCGTGCAACTCAACGGTATAAATTTTTTTCTTATGGTCACAGACTGTAACAGTAACTTTCTTTACAGTTACCTTCTTTGTAGTGAGCGTATGTTCTGTCTGTTCTGTGTAGTGAGTGTCACTCAGTGAAACACAGTTTATTGCATATAAATAGTTTATTGTGGGTATGTTCTGTGTTTGGGTATGCGGCTAAACAAAATTATAAACGAAACTTGAACTTTTAATGTTTTTTTACCTAAAATGCTGTTTTTTTAACCTAAAATGCTTTTTTTAGTACCTTTTTAGTTACATATTTTTCAGTTTTTAGTACCTAAATATCCCATCTCTAGTCATTAAGAACAATATCAGATTTTTTTTTTAGTTTATTCCATTTATATCCAAAGATTCCAGAAGATTTAGTTTGGTACCCTTATTGGCTACATGTAATATTTTAAAGTTATCATCAAATTTGTGATTCTCTTGTATTAGATGGTTGGCATATGAAGAATCCTGTTTAAGGTTTATATAGGATTTCTTGTGCTCTTTAATTCGTGGATTAAAATTTTCACGCGTTTGGCCTATATATGTTTTCGGACAGACTCTGCAGGTTAGTTGGTAAATGCCGGATTTTGATGTTTTACCTTTGTTGTTTTTGATAAACTTACTAAGGTTGTTGTTAGGTTTAAATGCTACATTGTTTAATGGACAGTCGGCAAAGGCATTGATTACATTCAGGTGGTTCCTCTCCCTTTAGTATGTGTTCGTGGGTATATTTACCTAGATAAGTACAGCTATGTATTAATGGTAATCTTAGATGTTGGAAAAACGTTGTTGATAGCTATTTTTTGTTTTTTGTGATTTAAGATTTTGTTAATTAGTTGTGCATCATAGCCGTTGTTAACTGCTATTTGTTTAATTAGGTTTAATTCGTAATTATAATCTTTTTCTGATAAAGGAACGTTTAAGAGTGTGGACCATAGAATTAAATGCGGCTATTTTGTGTGGAAAGGGGTAAGAAGAACTTTTAACTATAACTTTATCAGTGTAGCTGGGTTTGTGAAAAATTTTGAATGTGTGGTGTCTATTCTTTTTTTGGATTGTTAGATCTAAATAATTAATAGAGTTATTTATTTCTCCTTTCATTGTGAATTTAATGTTCGGGTGTAAGTTATTTATAAAATTCAAGAAAAGGATATCGTCTACATATCGGTACCAATATAGGATATGATCAATATATATATATGTTTGTGTATAATTCTCTCCAATTGGTTCACAAAGATATCCGCTTATAATGGGCTAAGAGGATTTCCCATGATAAGGTCATATATGACTCGTATATATTTTATTGTTAAATTGAAAGTAATTTTGTTTAAACAAGTTTCTAATGTGTTTATGATGTCGTTTTTAATAACTGGGTTAGTATTGTTTAGGTCCAGAAGATTTTGTATTATTTTATGTGTTTCAAAATGTGGTACATTAGAGAATAAATTAGTAATATCAAAAGAAATAAATTTGGCGTTATCGGGTAATGTCTTTAACCCTTAACTGGCGTGGTGAAATTTTTATGCGTACATACCGTCCTGACGTCCCTGGGACCACATACTAAATGGACTGAAAAAAATATTGTTTTCAACAAAAAAATATTTTTTATAGTTTTGTTACATTATTTAACATGTTATTGATAATATTTAATTATTATATATGCTGAATAAAAAATCACTTGTCCTATAAAATATTAACTTTATTTGCTAGTAATATACGCAAAAAATAACAAAGCTGGAAACTAAAGCGCGTAAATCATTCTGAAGGAAAAAATATTAACTCTTGAAACATTAATAAACATAAAAAAATTCATAAACTTAAAATTAAACCTCTGTAAAGAAAACGTGCAAGCGTCTATGACCTCTTATTGTTCTTCACCTGTGGCACATTCTACACATAATTTTTTGCCACATTCTAAACATATAGGTCCCTGGGACCACATACCAAATGGACTGAAAAAAATTTTTTTTTCAACAAAAAATATTTTTTATAGTTTTGTTACATTATTTAACATGTTATTGATAATATTTTATTATTATATATGTTGAATAAAAAATCACGTGTCTTATAAAAAATTAACTTTATTTGCTAGTAATATACGCAAAAAATAACAAAGCTGGAAACTAAAGCTCGTAAATCATTTTTTGGGACAGGAGACGTATCCATTTTTAGCTTTGGAAGAAAAATACGAGCATTATAAAAAAAAGACAAGAAAGCAATTTATTACGTACTTGCCGTCGAGTGGTCCCAGGGACCACGATCACACTGTCACGTAAAAATGGGAAATCACAACGCATCAACACTAACCAGGCGTGGTCGAGGGCATACTAACTAGAAGGTACTGAGACGCGCAGCTCGAAATTTTCAATGATTTTGGTGGTACACGCCAAAATATATTGGCTTGGGTCCCAGGGACGTCACAACGCCAGTTAAGGGTTAATATTTTTAGTTTTAATTTTTAATTATTAATCTAATACAAGAGAACCACAAATTTGGTGATCTTCTGGAGTCTTTGGAAATTAATAAACTAAAGAAAAAATCTGATATTGTTCTTAATGATCAAATTGAAACTAACAGCTCGGCTTTCCTAAATTTATTTTAGAATGTATACTTGTAGTACTAAAAAATATTATTTATTAATATTATAAAATTATATTAGATTGGACTTTCCAAATCCTTAGTTTTTCTAAAATTGTGTAAGTTTTATTAATACCTTAAGGTAAAATGTTTATTCAACACTTATTTTCTCAAATTACCTGCCATTTGTTAATATAAATACCGCCACTTAATAAAAATATGTAGGTACTAATTCTGAAGAAGCTACTGTGTAGCGAAACAATTGTTAATCATTAAAAACATAAATAAAATAGTGAAACTTTAAAACAGTGTTGTTTTTATTCATATTCACCTTAATGAAAATACGCCATTTTTTTAAGTTTTATCCACATTTTGACGTTTTAATTACTCGTCCACTCTAAAATGTCTATAATAATTACTAATATATGTATATATATTATATGTATATTATACAGTGTGTCCACCCAAGTAACACTTACGCTCTAAATTCGATCTCCAGGTTCGCTTTAAAACTATACAATAAAACTTCGAATAAAACCAAATGATCTTCAAGACAGCCTTAGGACCATCATAAAGCAGCTTCTAGCCAAAAAGGGCCCATCCTAAGAGGGTCTTCAGGGCTAAATTTTAAAACTATATTAAAACGATTTTGTTCTTTAAGTCAACTTTAAATGTGGGCATTTCACCCCAAATCAGATGGTTTAAATTTTTTTTTTTTTGATTCCTTCAATTTTT